ACTACTCTAGCCTGGCGGACAGAACGATCCGTCTCTAAAAAAAAGTCGTCTTTATAATATTATACCATCTTTCCTTCTGAAAGTTATAAATGTTATTTTCTAATTAAACTATGTATCACAAATGTGATTTGTAAATGTTAATATTAATAGAGTATATATATCATTTTTGCATTCTGTAGGATAGAATTTTCTGGTGTCTATTCTCTTCAAAATGAAAAGGAGGAGAATTGAGATCAGGAAAGTTAAACACACAAAGCGAACCAATTGATGGATTAGAGGGTATTCATTTGCGGCTGGCCAGAGCCTTACAAAATATCAAGAAAAAGCATGATCAATAAAAACTCGCATATGAGTGCAGTGGCACGATAAACAGACGACATTTTTATAATAAGGAACTCTTGTATTCTTAATATTTTGCAAATTATTATTCTCTCATCACCAAATAATGTTACCTAAAGTAATATACAACCAATTTAATAAGTTTAGTTTTAAAACACACAAAATTACAAAACAATTAATATGATATTTGAAATCATGATGCATATTGCCAGCCTCCCTTCAGGTAAAGTTCTATTAACTCTACAAAAATTTCATAAATGGCAGACATTACATTTCCAGACAGTTTTGTGGTAACCAAAAAAGAATTATTAGCAATTTTTATATCACATTGAGACAAAATATTATTTGTGATAAATATCATTATTGTTATGTATTTAAAACATCTCATGTATTAAGAAATCATATTTTAGATGGGGTCAAGCTGACCGATTACAAGCAACTGTGGCCCGTGGCTCTCACAGACAGCAGTGACAAGTGCGAGTGAATTCCGCACCTTCAGTTGAGGTATCCAGGTTCTTGCACTGGGACTGACTGGGCAGACAATTCGACCCATAGGGAGTGAGGAAAAGCAAGTGGGGGATGGCCCACCCAGATGGGCACGAGCTAGGGGAGCCCCCAGTAGCAGCCAAGGGAGGCGGGGAGTGATTGTGTGACTCTGCCCGGGAAACCACGCTTCTCCCACGGATCTTGGCAACCTGCAGATCAGGAGGTCCCCTCGTGAGCCCAGCCCCCATGGCCTGGGTCTGAAGCACAGAACTGTGTGGAGTCTCGGTGGAGAGCTCACTGGCTCACTGGGGCATGCTGGAAACCCAGGAGTTTTGTGTACTTTGCCCCAAGAATTCCAGCAAAGCGGGAGATACATCCATGCATTCCCCTAGGAAGGGGGCTGAATCCAGGGAGCCAAGTGACATCATTCTGAGGCCCCACTCCCACAGCCCCTCACAAGTGACATCATTCTGAGGCTCCACTCCCACAGCCCCTCACAAGTGACGTCATTCTGAGACTCCACTCCCACAGTCCCTCACAAGTGACATCATTCTGAGGCCCCACTCCCACAGCCCCTCACAAGTGAAGTCATTCTGAAGCTCCACTCCCACAGCCCCTCACAAGTGACGTCATTCTGAGGCTCCACTCCCACAGCCCCTCACAAGTGAAGTCATTCTGAGGCCCCACTCCCACAGCCCCTCACTAAAGTGAAGTCATTCTGAAGCTCCCACTCCCACAGCCCCCATCACAAGTCGACGGTCATTTCTAGGCCCCCACTCCAACAGGGCCCCTCACAAGTGGTCATTCTGAAGCATCCACTGCCCACAGGCCCCTCACAAGTAATGAATTCTTGGAGGCTCCACTCCACCAGCCCCTCACAAGTGACATCATTCTGAGGCCCACATCCCACGCCCCCACAAGTGACGGTCATTGTAAGGCTCCACTCACACCAGCCCCTCACAAGTGATGCATTCTGAGGCTTCCACTCCACAGCCCCTCACAAGTGACGCATTGGTAAGGGCTCCGACTAACACACAGCCCCTCACAAAACCCATTGGCTGGAATCCAGGCTGGTGGGGGCAGCAGGCTGGAGATAGCTGGAGATGGACAGAGTTTCCCGGGCAGCCTCTGTATCTGCGGTTGAGGTGGCCGCCCTAGCCTGCTGCACCAGGGACCCAGGAGTAGTTCCACCCATACACAAGCAAGTGCTGGAGTCTCGCTCTTGCCGCCCAGGCTGGAGTGCAGTGGCCGGATCTCAGCTCACGCAAGCTCCGCCTCCCGGTTCACCGCCATTCTCCTGCTCAGCCTCCCGAGTAGTTGGGACCTACAGGCCGCGCAGCACAACCGCTGCCCGGCTAGTTTTTTGTATTTTTTAGTAGAGACGGGGTTTCACCGTGTTAGCCAGGATGGTCTCGATCTCCTAACCTCGTGATCCGCCCATCTCGGCCTCCCAAAGTGCTGGGATTACAGGCTTGAGCCACCCTGCCCGGCCAAGGCCGCTTCTTTAAGTGAGACCAAAATCCATCCCTCCTCACTGGACAGGGCCTCCCCATCGGAATTTTAGCAACTCCAGCCAGAGTTCTGTGGACAGAACTCTCATTTCTCCCTGGGATGAAGTCCCCAGGGAGAGGGGTAGATGCTGTCTCCCAAGTTCAGCCGACCTAGCCTTGCCAGCCTGCTGGCTCTGGAGACTCCCAGGGATCAGCACAGCACACCTGCTCTGCTGGGGGCAGCCAGACTGCTTCTTTAAGCAGTCCCTCATCCTGTTCCTCTCAACTGGGTGAGATCTCCCAACAGGGGTCTCCAGACACCTCCTACAGGTGCGTTCCAGCTGGCGTCAAGTCGGTGCCTCCTTGGACGGTGCTCCCAGAGGAAGGATCAGGCTGCCATCATTGCTGTTTCGCAGACTTCACTGGTGATACCTCCAGGTGCAGGAGAGACTGAGGCGACTAGGGTCCAGAGTGGACCCCCAAAAAACCACAGCAGCCCTAGGGAAGTGTTAAAAACAAACAGAAAGTAACAACAACAATATCAACAAAAAAGACCCCACAAAAACCCCATTCAAAGGTCAGCAACATCAAAGATAAAAGATAGATAAGCCCACAAAGATGAGAATGCATTAACACAAAAATGCTGAAAACTCAAAAAGGCAGAATGCCTCTTATCCTCTAAATGACAACACCACCTCCCCAGCAAGGGCACAGAACTGACCCGAGGCTGAGATGGCTTAATTGACAAAAATAGGCTTTAAGAGGTGGGTAATAACAAACTTCACTGAGCTAAAGGAGCATGTTCTAACTTAATGCAAGAAGCCAAAAATTATAAAAGAATACAGTGGCTGATACCCAGAACATTCAGTTTGGAGAGCAACATAACTGACCTGATGGAGCTGAAAAAAAAAACACGAGAACTTCACAATGCAACCACAAGTATCATTAGCAGAATAGGCCACGTGGAGGAAAGAATCTCAGAGCTTGAAAACTGTCTGTCTGATATAAGATAGGAAGAAAAGAATAGAGAAAAAAGAACTAAAAAGAATGAACAAAACCTTCAAGAAATATGGGATTATGTAAAAAAAACTGAACATAAGACTGATAAGGATACACTGATCCACCACGATCAAGATGGCTTCATCCTGGCCGGGCGTGGTGGCTCACTCCTGTAATCCCAGCACTTTAGGAGGCTGAGACGGGTGGATCACGAGGTCAGGAGATCGAGACCATCCTGGCTAACACGGTGAAACCCCATCTCTACTAAAAAAAAAAAAAAAAAAAAAATTAACCAGGCGTGGTGGTGGGCGCCTGTAGTCCCAGCTACTCGGGAGGCTGAGGCAGGAGAATGGCATGAACCCTGGAGGCAGAGCTTACAGTGAGCCGAAATCACACCACTGCACCCCAGCCTGGGCAACTGAGCGACACTCTGTCTCAAAAAAAAAAAAAAAAAAAAAGATGGCTTCTTCATCCCTGGGATACAAGGTTGGTTCAACATAGGCAAATCTATAAATGTAATTCATCACATAAACACAACTAAACGCAAAAGTTGTGTGATTATATCAATAGATGCAGAAAAAGCATTCAATAAAATTCAACATCCCTTCATGTTAAAAAAAAAAAACAACTCTCAATAAACTAGCTATTGAAGGATGATACCTCAAAATAATAAGAGCCATACATGACAAACCCCCAGCCAATATCATACTGAATGGGCAAAAGCTGGAAGTATCCTCCTTGAAAACAGGCACAAGACAAGGATGGCCTCTCTCGCCACTCCTATTCAACATAGTATTGAAATTTCTGGCCAGGGCCATTGGGCAGGAAAAAGAAACAAAGGTATTTAAATAGGAAGAAAGGAAGTCAAATTATCTTTATTTGCAGATTACATGATCCTGTGTCTAGAAAACCCCATCATCTTAGCCCAATAGCTTCTTAAGCTGATAAACCACTTAAGCAAAGTCTCAGGATACAAAATCAATGTGCAAAAGTCGTTAGCATTCCTATACACCAACAACATGCAAGCAGAGAGCCAAATCATGAATGAACTTCATTCACAATTGCTAAAAGAAAATCAAATACCTAGGAATACAGTTAACAAGAGAAATGAAGGACCTCTTCAAGGAGGACTACAAACCACTGCTCAGAGAAATCAGAGAGGACACAAACAAATGGAGAAACAGTTATGCTCATGGATAGGAAGAATTAATTCATGAAAACGGCTGTACTGCCCAAAGTAATTTGTAAAAGAATTCAGTGCTATTCCCATTAAACTACCATTGACATTCTTCAGAGAATTAGAATAAATTATTTAAAAATTCTTATGGAACTAAAAAAGAGCCCAAATAGCCAAAACAACTCTAAGTAAAAAGAACAAAGCTGCAGGCATCACACTACCCAACTTCAAACTATACCAATGGAACAGAATAGAGAACTCAGAAATAAGATCATACACATTCAACCATCTGATGACAAACCTGACAAACACAAGCAATGGGGAAAGGATCCCTTATTTAATAAATCGTGTTGGGAAAACTGGCTAGCCGTATGCAGAAAACTGAAACTGTACATCTTCCTTACACCTTATACAAAAATTAACTCAAGATGGATTAAAGACTTAAACATAAGACCTAAAACCATTAAAACTCTAGAAGAAAACCTAGTCAATACCATTTAGGACATAGGCATGGGCAAAGACTTCATGACTAAAACACCAAAAGCAATGGTAACAAAAGCCAAAATTGACAAATGGGATCCAGTTAAACTAAAGAGCTTCTGGACAGCAAAATAAACTCATCAGAGTGAAAGGCAACCTACAGAATGGGAGAAAATTTTTGCAATCTATCCATCTGACAAAGGGTTAACATCCAGAATCTACAAGAACTTAAATTTACAAGAAAAAAACAACCCCATCAAAAAAGGGGCAAAGGAAATGAACAGGCACTTCTCAGAAAAAGACATTTATGCGGCCAACAAACATATGAAAAAAGAAAGAAAAAAAAAACCTCATCATCACTGGTCATTAGAGAAATGCATATCAAAACCACAATGAGATACCATCTCACACCAGTTAGAATAGTGATTATTAAAAAGTCAGGAAACAGCAGATGCTGGAGAAGATGTAGAAAATAAGAATGCTTTTACACTGTTAGTGGGAGTTTAAATTAGTTCAAATATTGTGGAAGACAGTGTGGCAATTCCTAAAGGATCTAGAACCAGAAATACCATTTGACTCAGCAATCCCATTACTTGGTATATACTCAAAGGAGTATAAATCATTCTACTATAAAAAATCATGCATACATATGTTTATTTCAGCACTGTTCACAATAGCAAAGACTTGGAACCAACCCAAACGCCCATCGATAATAGACTGGATTTAGAAAATGTGGCAAATATACACCATGGAATACTATGCAGCCATAAAAATTGATGAGTTTATGTCCTTTCCAGGGACATAGATGAAGCTGGAAACCATCATTCTCAGCAAACTAACACAAGAAAAGAAAACCAGACCAGGCGCAGTGGCTCATGCCTGTAATCCCAGAACTTTGAGAGGCTGAAGCGGGCAGATCCCCTGAGGTCAGGAGTTTGAGACCAGCCTGACCAACATGGAGAAACTCTGTCTCTACTAAAAATACAGAAAATTAGCCAGGTGTGGTGGCACATGCCTGTAATCCCAGCTACTTGGGAGGCTGAGGCAGGAGGATAGCTTGAACCTGGGAGGCAGAGGTTGCAATGAGCTGAGATTGTGTCATTGCAATCCAGCATGGGCAATAAGAGTGAAACTCCATCAAAAAAAAAAAAAAGGAAACAAAAAGAAAACCAAAAACCACATGTTCTCACTCATAAGTGGGAGTTGAACAATAAGACCAAATGGGTATATACATGTTCTTCTCCCACAAGGAGGATAACATCACACACCAGGGCCTGTCTGGGGCTGGGGGGCTAGGGGGCTGGGGGGCTGGGGGAGGATTAGCATTAGGAGAAACACTTAATGTAGATGACGGGTTGATGGGTGCAGCAAACCACCATGGCTTTTCTATATCTAGGTAACAAACCTGAACATCCTGCCCCTGTATCCCAGAACTTAAAGTATAATTTAAAAATTCACATAAATGCATAAAGTCTAGTGTAACTAATATATTATAATGAAATGTCAACTATAATCCCAGCTCAAAGAGAATACCATAAAATTATGAAGTGCTTTCCACAAATCTCTAAATTTATGTCCTAAGATTACATTTGTATTTCTTCTTGAATAATTTCCTTATTTTAGCTATGATTTAGTGATAGTAAGATGGTAGTCATGAGGAGAAAATTCTCCTAACACTCCACTGAGAAAATTCTGCCTCATTTCACCACACACCTGAGTCTTAAGCAGTCACTTCTAATGCAGTTGAATAACAGATCCTTACCCAGCTGAGTCTATGAATTGAATCCATGTATGTGAGATAAGGCCCCCAAGGAGTGGTAATAAGCTGGGAATGCCATCAGCTCATCTTCCTTCAGTTCTATATTGTCATTGTCCCCTGTAGAAGCAGGACAGCAAGCTGAGAATGCCATCAGCTCATCTTCCTTCAGGCTTATATTTGTCATTGTCACTTGTAGAAACAGGACAGCCCTGACATTGGGATTGTTAGAAACAGAGAGTTATCAAAGGGAAAATTGAACTTCCCTAATTTTTGGAAAACAGCAGATTGGAAACAGATGGGCTCCAACCTTTTCCATGTGTGAGGTCATTGTCCCAGGTAGCCTTCCTCAGGACCACATTTCTTGTCAGCAAAACAGAAGTTAAACGTTATTTCTACCTTCCAAGAGAAGAGAACATAATGTCAGATTTTCTCATGGATTCCCACAAGTTCAAGAAAGTTTCATGGCCTTCATTTATTTCTTCTTCAGTGGTCTCAGGGTCACCTAGAAATATAAGCTACTTTGTTGGAATTTGGAAGATACCTCATGCTCCAAAATTACTTGAAAGATGTGCTTTTTCTCCCTGGGAAAAGAGCCCCAAGTCAAGGCATCTGATGTGGGAAGCAGAATGCAGGCTGCTTTTCATCTGTCACATAGTAGGCCTGGTATATTTATCAAGGGCAGAAAAAAAAAAACCTCCATTGCAGACAGCACTGATGACTGAGATGCACACTGTCCTTCTTTATATACCTTATTTTGACATAAATTTCCAGGAACCTGTGTTTGCCATCCCATCCCTTTTTGTCCTCTACTGTCTCTAGTCATGGGATATTTTATTTCACAAACTAGAACATCTACTTCTTGGCAACAGAGACACTTTTTGCTTTGTGACACCCACCAACGAAACCTGAATTCTAACTTAAACATTAACCTTAATCCTGATTATAACTGCCACGTTTATGATACTTTTAATAAAAAAAAAAACTTGATGTTATAATGGTAGCTTTTCTTCCCACAAACCTATATATCTTAGCATAGAGCGCCAGCTCAGCCTGTTTGGGTTTGGTGTGGTGTGTTCCCTCCCA